GTGGCTTGAGGATTCTTCGCTATCAAAAAAAGGAGGTCCTTGGATTGTAGCCCAAGCCCAGACATGAAAGTGGTCAGTGCAAACTTGTCATCCATACTTTTCACCTTTAGGCACTCCTGGTTGAAGCGTTATACATAGCTTCGGAGGGACTCGTTAAGCCCCTGCTTGACGCTCAGAAGATGGTAGGAAGGCTTTCTGTACGTCCTTGCTCCGATGAAATGTGATATGAACTGAATGGATAATTCGCTGAAGGAGGAAATTGATGTAGGTTGCAGACGGTTAAACCAGGCTATTGTCGACCCTTTGAGGGTGATGGCGAATGCCCGACAGCGTATCAGATTAGGATATCCTTGAAGTTCCATCTGGTTTTTGTAAGAGTTCAGGTGGTCGACTGGGTCTTTGGTTCCGTCAAATGTCTCTATCAACGGTGTTCGAAATTTCTGGGGGAGGGGGAAGTGGAGGACCTCGGGAGTGAATGACGACTCAGTTTGCTAGACTAGGGCGTCCATGGTATCAGGGGTCCTTCCTTTAATCACTTCTTTCATATTACCCAGCTCTCATTGGTGCTCATAGAGTTTTTGCTCCAAATGATGGTACATGGCATCTGACAGGTGATAGGGCATGTCTTCTTGGTAGGTGGGTTTGGCCCTGCTGTGGGCCTCATCTTCATGGCGTTCATCAGGGTGCCTCCTCCTGTGATTTCCCCCGGAGTGGCTCCACTAGTGAAGCTCGGTGACTCCGTTAGGTGGGGCTTGGCCCTCCTGAGGAAGGGCAACCTGCTCAGCCTGGGGTAAAGGGGGTTCTTGACGTGCTGATGGGATCTGAGGGAGCCGATATGTCTGTATCCACTCCATCAACTCCTGGTTCTGCCTTATTAGTTGAACTGTGGTTCTGCCATAAGCTTCCAGTTTGTTGGGAAGAGGGAGGTTGGCCTCTGGAGGGCGATCCCCGACGTCTTCTTCTAGGACCGGAAAGTTCTCCGGTGGGTTCTGAAGGACTTGGGGANTATAAGCTTCCAGTTTGTTGGGAAGAGGGAGGTTGGCCTCTGGAGGGCGATCCCCGACGTCTCCTTCTAGGACCGGAAAGTTCTCCGATGGGTTCTGAAGGACTTGGGGATTGGTTGGAGCTTTACTCATGTTCCGAGTAGAAANGTGCCTTAGTGACGGCTTGGATCTCGAGGAAATCTCGTGATCGGGCTCTCTTGGCATGCGCTTTTCGCGCTGACCTGGATTCTCCGCCTCCTACGAAGCCTCTTGAGATGACTCGGATTTTGCTAAGGGCTTGTTGGTGCTGCTGAGGTGCCACCGCGGCGGCCCGGGCTTCTCACCCTTGATTGTTCTGGGCTCTTCCTTCTCCTGCCACATACTTGCACAGGTGGCCCCTCTGTATCAAGTACTCTATTTCCTTCTTGAGTTGAATGCAGTCATTGGTTTCATGACCTGTGTCCTTGTGGAACTTACAGTACTTGGCGGGGTCTCGCCTGCTAGGGTCGGATTTCATTCGAGGTGGCCACCGAATGAACCTTTTGTTTTGGACTTCATGAAGTACCTGAGTGATAGTAGTTACAAGGGGTGACAGCCGTGCTGGGGTAAACCGCGGCTGTAGGTCCTATGGGGGCGGACCCAAGCGGTCTCGGAGAGGGATCTCCTCTTCGGAGAGGGCTCTCTTTTTCTCCTAGGCGAGCGGTCTTGTTTCGAGGATCGATCATGTTTCCTCTTTTTCTTGGGACTACGGTCCCTTTTCTTCTTACTTTNTTTTTGCAGTTTCTCTGTCGTTCTGACATATACTGTTATGTAAATGTACTTCCAGGTGGTATAAGTATGCTTCACTGGGGCTTACGGTCTTTGGTGTTTATCTGATTGCAAAGAATGCTTTCCAATATTTCATGGAGAGAAGGCGTCATTGGGAATTGCGAAAGAGGTATGGTTCACTGGTATTTAATAATTCTTGGAAACTTATGTGACTATTTTCATTATTCAGTAATGTAAAATATCACAATTATACGATGTCACTCCAGGCACATGATGAACTCTTACACCATAACTTGAAGTATAGTGGTTTGTTTATGCAGGGTTTTTGCTGCTGCAGCTAAAAGACCAGGGCAAGATAATGAAGGTAATTAACTTCGGTCTTCATTCAATAGTTCTTCTCTAATATCTGTTTGGTGCGGTATTGAGACGTTTCTTCTTTTCCATTTCTTTTTCTCAGTTGCTAAAGCTGAGGATGGATCCGATGGTACTCAAAAAGAGGGACTAATGCCAGATATATGTGTGATATGCCTGNGACGTTTCTTCTTTTCCATTTCTTTTTCTCAGTTGCTAAAGCTGAGGATGGATCCGATGGTACTCAAAAAGAGGGACTAATGCCAGATATATGTGTGATATGCCTGGAGCAGGAGTACAATTCAGTTTTTGTTCCGTAAGTTCCCCCAACAATCTCTCATGTTGTTTTAAGGGCGAAAACGGTTAAATGCCTGTTGATTTTGTGACACCTTNTGGAGCAGGAGTACAATTCAGTTTTTGTTCCGTAAGTTCCCCCAACAATCTCTCATATTGTTTTAAGGGCGAAAACGGTTAAATGCCTGTTGATTTTGTGACACCTTTTTTTCTTATACTTATTTCAATCCCTGAGATTTGTCTTAAAATACTTGTCCTTTGTCTGAGAAAACAAATTTTGCCTACTTATTATGTGCATGCTCTTGCAGCATTATCAAAAACAATTCCCGAGTTAATGTTTGAACGATACCTGGAAATGAACCTTACAAGATAATTCCTATCTTTAGTCGTTCATGATCTAGAGTCTGGTGGCACAATAGTCTGGTCTTTAGTTGGGTACAAAATGGCTAGAATTTTGGTTATTTTAAGCCGGTCTTTGACTCTCTCTCCACTTAAGGTGTGAGGATGATAAGTCCCGCTTGTTTTCATAGTGTATTGGTGTACAGTTTGGGGCTTCTGTGCATGAATTTATATTTCGCTATTTCATAAAAGTGGTTACCTTTCCAACTTTATTCAAACACAACCTTGGCACTCTTACTTGTACAAGAAGCTATTAGGATAGTCTCAAATTCTGCAGTACCCCCTTGTTTTGATGTTTACATTGATCAAGTGAATCACCTTTGTAATACCATTCCTGATTTTGTTTAGTTGTTTTGACCTCTCAAAATTTAAACCGAAAGAAATGGCTTATTGGATGTGATATCCAGGTGTGGTCATATGTGCTGTTGTATGTCGTGCTCTTCGCACTTGACAAACTGTCCGCTTTGCCGGAGACAGATTGAGCAGGCAGTGAGGACATTCCGCCATTAAGCTGTGTTTTGAGGTTGCATAGCCACCATTGACAAGGACACCCAAAAGCTGAGGTTTGGGGTCTAAGATAGGCCTGAATTCCTCTCTACAAGGGCAATGGAACTTTGTTAAGTGGAGTTAAGATTCTGATTGGCTACATATCTACAGCAATTGCTTATTGAAGTTTTAAAATTGTGGAAAATTTTACCAGTACAGTTGACATGTGCACGAGCCTCTTTTGAGACTTTCTCTTGCCCTTGTAGATTAAGTATACTGGATATCTTGTAAATTTGATGTGATATATGTCTATATGTCGCCTTCTTTGTTTCTATTCTGTTTGGTCATTCAAAGAGATGGTAATAGTCATAGTTGGTTCTGTAGAACCATCAAGTTGAGGAGTATGTGATGTATCATGCTTCTAACTACATGGGATAAAATGTGCTTATCTTTATATATCCATGAGGCCAAGCAGAATAAAAAAAATCGTGTCAATGATATCTCTCTAAGGTTTCTGAAGAACAAAGTGCTTGTTTTTTGTTTTTCCGGTTGCATGTTGTATCAAGCGCCTAATTACAGTTCAATGCACGAGGTTCATGCATATCTAGGAAGGTTTTGATAAAACAAAATATATAAAAACTACCTAGAACCCGAATTACAAACAATCTAATCCTAACAGTGGGAGACAGGGAGCAGGGTAAGCACGCTGTGACGATGAAGACTGATGGAAGAACTCTTGTTTTTTTAAGATGAAAAATCCACATCCCTTTCTATAAGGCTTCATAGTTCATATTCATGTTTATTTAGGCGTTGAATTGGAAATAACACATTGTACACTTTCCTTTTCATCTAGGTTTACAGTAGATGCTTTAGCCAGCAAGTACGTCTAAGGGGAAATTTCTGAACCACCGAGTTTAATTTATCCAATCACAAGTTTAAGCAAGATATTGTCTAAGCATTGTACTTTAGAGGTCACGCTGATATATTTTTATTTTCTTCCCGTTTGTCCAACCAAAAATACCAATCAGAGGGATCGAGTAGCCTGCATAAATTGTTCTTTCCTGCTCTGGAAAAGAACACCCTTGTTGCCATAACCAACCTGAGGAAAGAAAGAGGAAGCAAGACAGAAGTTTTGAAACTTCTTATTATGGATTGGGTCACGCTGAGTTTGTATTGTGTCTAAATCATATTATGTTGAAATTTGCTCAATCAATGTCCGACCCATTTATTTATAATCATATATACTAGGTCTCGTGTCATATCATGTACAAACTAAGTTTAGCCATTCGTGTGGTGTCTGGCCAAGTTCATGCAATTCAGTCATTTAACAGGTCTAACCAGTCCAATAGGTTATCACCAATCCACTAAGATCAAACTTAAGTAAATACAACTTGACGGCCTAACATACCTCAAAGTCAAACAATACATCCAGATATCATAGTTACATTATTTTTTTCATCTTACATTACCCAAATCCATTAATAAGTCATAACAAGCGAGCAGGATAAGAAAATCCACAAATTCATCAAATCAAAGAATTTAGTAATCAACCAAAATTGCAAGTTAAATATATTTATTATGAACAGAATTAGTTCAATTATCCATAAAAAACCTCTTTTCACTAATAAATAAAGCTAATGACATATAAATCAAGGAAGAAAAGAATAGAAATTATTGCAAATAGTTACAAAAATTTACGTTCTTGACATTTACTTCGTATCAAGCTTTCAAAGGCTCATCATCATCTTCAATATCCCAAGTCAAATCCTCATCTTCTTCTGCAGCACTCAGTCGCTTCCGTAGCTCAGCTCTGTTCAGGCTCCCACCGCCAGTGACCCTCTTTTCATCACTGCTCCCAACATCCTCAATCTCATCCCACCCAAGCTCTTCCTCGTCTGGCACTGACTGCTGACTGGATACAATGGATATAGCACAATATCTACAAGATTCACCATGATCAGCCTTCCCCTGTAAAACCACCTTGTCATCAGAATTCAACACTGCCTCATCATTTTTCACTTCATAGGTTTGTTTAGATGGTTCTTTCTCGTCAACCGCTTCATCAAAACTCGATCTACCTAAAATTGTCGATATCAACACTACCCACATTGGAATTATGTTCTTCCTTCCCACCATCAACCCTAGAACTTCCACTCTGTGATACCTCATAACTGTCTCCCTTCATCATTTGCGGCCAATCTTCACTTAGGACTTTGTTATTTTCCAGTTCCTCACCTTTTGAAGACTCCTTAAGCTCTTGCTCTTTATCATCCTCATCATCAACATCCCAAGTCAATTCTTCTTCATCATTAATCGAAACTGCTCTCTTTACAAGATTAGCTCTCACACTCTCTTGTTGGTTAAGCTTATGGACTCTATAGAAGTACCGAGACCAAAATGTATCATGGTTAATCTCATTCGGCACAACCCTTTTATAGATACCTTCCAAAGCTCCACTGTCGCCAATCAAATTCTCAACTTCCTGACTCTTCTCCTCCAACACAAACCCTAATTTCCAATTATTGTAATCCTCCAAATTCTCAGGTTCTTCACAATAAGTTTTAACGTCACTCTGAATAGTTCTTAATAGCGCATCGAATCTACTATACCGTCTCGAACTACAACTTGAACTCGTATCAGGCGTATCGTTTTGGAAATCGGAGGCGGAAAGAAGGGCTTCTTTACGGTGGGAGATGATCTTGGCAGTCGACTTGAGTACTCCATCGATTACTTCGTGAGCCGCTTCAATCGAATACGGGAGGTCCTTCACGGTTCGGCTTGCAACTTCGCGAAACAAAGAAGTTTCTTTCTTCAACCCCGACCCAAATTCTCTGAGATCGCGACGGTAGGTCTGGAGTACTGACCCCGATTGGGTCGCATAGCTCTGGATTAGACCTCCGAATCTCCACCCACCCCAACCACCACCATCGGTCGAGTTAGGGTTTGAATTAGGTTGGCCGTGTGACCGGCAGCTCTGATCTTGGTCAATGGCGTCGTTCTCGTCGTAGTGTTTATAGGATGGGTTTGAGGGGGAATTGGGATCAGATTTTTGGGGATTCTCGGATTTTGGAGGGTTCGTATCGTCTGATAAGATGGATTTGAAGAAATTCATTTGCAAGTGAATGACTCAAAAACTAGGGTTAGGGTTTTCCTGAGATTTCAGAGGAGATACGAAATTGAGTACAAAGAGCTGTATCGTACGAGACGTATAAAGTTTTGGATACGGCAGAGTGCGTAATGCGCACTGCTTTCTTCTTGGGCTCACAACATTCTTAGTGGCCATTTAGGATGCTTCCCAAATTTTGGGCCTATGAGTAATCAAAAAAATACTTTTGAGCCTTTTGATGCAATTTGGACGAATTAACTCGAATTTAATTTTAACCCAACCCGAAATTAGAGTTTGGATTCAAATTTTTAAAACTGGGATCGAGTTTGGACCGAAAAATCTCAACCCAAATTAAATTTCAGACATACTCGAGTTGAGGTTTGGGTG